TTAAGATGCTTGCTTAATTCTGCCTTGACGTCATCCACAAGTTTGTAGATGATAGTATGGTCGAGGATGGAGACCTTGGAGGCTGCCGCGAGACGTATCATTGATGGCTCGATAACAGTATTGAAGTTTATCACGTGACCTTTGGCTGCGGCTGCATGCTCAATATCGAATTCGGAAATGGCTCCGACTCCAGATCGAAGGATATGGGGTTGAACCTCCTTGTTGCCAAGTGCACTGATTTGGTCGATAACCGCTTCGACTGAACCAGATACATCACCTTTCACAATAAAATAAATCTGCTTGGGTCCAGCAATCGTATCTTCTTTGGCCTCGGAAGCAGCATCCACCTCCTCACCAGTTTCAGCGGCCTCAGCAGCTCTTGCTGCTTCTTCCTTCTCTCGATCGCGCTTCTCTTTCTCGCTTGTGCGGAACTCGTTGATGGCATCCATATCCTGGGCAAGCTTATCGCGCTCTGCGTTTTCAAGTCGGTACTCCATCACAGATTTTGCCTTGGCTTCGTCTGGTGCTTGAAGCACTTCATCGCCTGCGACAGGCTGCTCTCGCCAACCGTCAATCTCGACTGGCTTTCCAGGACCAGCTTCGTCGATCTCAATTCCAGCTTCATTGCGAAGACAACGAATACGTGCCCAAGTTTGACCAGCAACGATGAAATCGCCAGGTCGCATAGTACCACGTCGCACTAAGACGGTGGCGACCTTTCCCATTGACTTGATACTCGCCTCGAGCACCCATCCTTCAGCTGGGCCGTCATTCTCAGCTCGCATGTCAAGTATCTCTGACAGGGTAACGACCGCTTCTTCAAGTTCATCCATACCCTGGCCAGTCTTTCCACTAACACCTATCGCTTGTACATCACCGCCGAAGTCTTCAACATCAACGCCATGACGAGCGAGATCTTGTTTCACACGCTCTATATTGACGTCATCCTTGTCGATCTTATTAATAGCCACAATGATTGGAACTTTCGCAGATTTGGCGTGATTAATGGCTTCAATCGTCTGAGGTTTCACGCTGTCGTCGGCAGCTACCACCAGGATGACAATATCAGTGACGTTAGCACCTCTCTGTCGCATGCTCAAAAATGCAGCGTGACCTGGTGTATCAAGGAAAGTGATAACCTTCCCACCCGGCATAGGTACGGAGAATGCTCCAATATGTTGCGTGATGCCACCATGCTCTGTAGCAGCAACAGAAGACTTGCGAAGCCAATCAAGAAGTGTGGTCTTTCCGTGGTCAACATGTCCCATGATTGTCACAACCGGCGGCCTTGGAGGTAGGATGGTTAGATCCTCTGCAGGCGCTCTAGCATGCAAGTCCTCGGAAATGCTGCGGTCGATGATTGCTTCAAAATTGTACTCCATAGCGATCAGACCAGCGTCCTCCGAGTTCAGAATGTGATCACCTGTGATCTCCTCGTAGCCAAGCTCTTCCATCTTTTCGATAAACGCTTCGGTCCTGATCTTTAGTACCATCGCCAAATTAGATACGCTAATGTATTCTGGAAGTAACACAGATGTAGGAGCGGCTGCCTTCTTAGCTGCCTTATCTTCCTTTCGCCTCTTGCGATCTTCAGCTCTACGAATTGCGGCCTCCTTGCCATTCTCTTCCGCGACATCTTCATCGTCGCGGAATCTACCCCTTCGCTTGGATTTATCTCTATCTTTACCCTTGGGCAAAGCAGTGTAGCTTTCCGCCTCGAATCGCTTGGGAGGTCTTGCTTCTCGTCCGGCTCTCCTTCCCCGGCGTTCTCTCGACTCCTCTACCTCATCATTCATGTCGATTTCATTATAATCATCCTTGGGTTTCGGTTTTCGTCTGGTTTCGGCGTCTGCTGTATCCACTGCTGTATTAACTCCTGCAGCGGTCGCACGTTGAACCTCGCACCGATTTCGGCTCAGCGACACTGTCTTAAATGCACCAGACGATGAGATCGTATGCCGCAGAGGGGGAGACTGGAAGTCTGGACGACTAACACTTGCGATCCCCTGTTGGACAGCGCTACCTCCCAATGGAATATATTGAATCGTGGCAGCCTCAGCCTCTCGTTGTGCCCGACCAGCTAAGAACGCATTTTCAGGGGGTGGTACAGGTCTGGATGAAGCCGGAACTGGCTCTGATTTCGACATAATAGTACTAGGTTCTTGGCGTTGCCTGAGATGACCTCCGTTCCATTGTGGTATCGGCTGTGATTCTGCATCCAGTCTACGACCCATTGAAGCTTTATACACAGACTCACCTAGTTCATGACTTCTGGATAAAAACCGTTTGATTTGAAATGGTCTGGAGGAACCTTCCTGACCAAACTTTTGTCGTGCTTCATATTCCTCTTGTCGTTGTCCGTCTCGTGCTTCGTGGGCTTTTCTCCTCTCTGCAGCAGCTCTAGCCATTTCTAGCCTTTCTTCGTGATTTACTCTCTGGCGTGGCTCATAACGGCCACTTCGTGTAGATGCTGGCCCTGGCCCTTTGTGCATCGGGGGCAGCTGTCTGGGCTGCCATTCGTTGGCCCGCACCCCCCTCGCTTGCCGCTCTACTTCTCTCTTTTCTTCTGTTTCCCGTTTCGCTTTCTGCTCTGCTGCATGTTCAGCCTCTATAATTTCACGGGCCTTCTGTTCGTGAGGTAAGAGTGTCTGAGGAGCTGGCTTTCCATCTGAAGCTGCGGGTGAAAATGTAGGCCATGCCGGCAAGTTCGTTCCAAATCCCGGTCCTGGCTTTCCCCAAGTGGCACCAGCTGCCGGACGTCCCCAGGCTGGTGCCTGTGGTTGTGTTTCTGTAGCTCCGGCAGCAGGAGGTTTACCTGAAGGTCGAGAAGACTGCAGATATCGACGTTGTATGTGCGAGGGGCGGCGAGTGGTACCCATTCGATGAGCGCAGAATGCGCATATCGAAGGACATGATGGCTCCTGGTTCAGTTAGCTATAGGCCTGATTGCTGGGCAGCTCACCTACTTTTATCAAGCTACGACCTCTCATTGTCTATCGAAAGACTGACGAGACATTGTTCTTGATGAAGTACGTAGTAGATATTTGGTGTCTATCTGGCAAAAATTCATACGGCGGCCGATATCTGACAATCGTGCCGCGACAGCACCAACCCAATCCGCACCCGATTAACCTGTACAAGACTTCAAGGTCTGAGCATGCCTCCAAATAAGACCAAGGAGAGAGCTTTCAAAGACCCTAATTCTACGAAATCGAAGTTATCGGCGCCAATTGCGCCTCCCGAACCCTTTAAGCTGCCACCTCCGAGTCTTGAGCAATTCCTTCCCGAGCTCTCCAAGAAGCATGTATACATCACTCACATCGACGTGAAGACATGGGAATTCAAGCGCAAAATATTCATGGTTCCGCTTGCCATGAATATCCTTATCATTCTGGCCCTTTTATGGCGTGCTCGATCAATTGGCCCTTATTACATGAAGATATGCTTCTCGATAACTGGCAAGGTTAACGAAATGACTCTGGACACAAGAAGAATGACATCGAGTGACATCGCACGCGAAATATTGAGACGAGCCTCGAAGTTTATGGCTGACCTACTGCTATACATATTTGTATGGCCCTGGCCGCGCGACTTCTTCGCAGGAAGGGTTATTGGGAACCCAATAGCTTGGAGATTCGGTGTTGGATTCAGGGACAAGGAGATCATAGTGAGAAGAAGCAGGAAATGGATAAATCAACTGGGCAATGTGTTTGATGATAATAGTCCAGGGACTCAGTTGTTATACAGCAATATCCGGCAGGCCGTAGATCCGATTTGGATGAACGAAAAGACTGGTTATTTGATGTTGAACAAGGAATGGGACTTGGACTGGAAGTCAATGGTCTTAGCTACAAAGCTAGTTGATCAAAGGAAGATGGCTCTGGATGACTTCAAGACAACGGTCCTGGTCTACAATGAAGAATTTGGATGGATGGCGAGCGGAGTTGTAGTACCTCAAGGGAGTGTTGCAGAGGAGGAAGGACGACGCAAGATCATAGCATTCAAAGATGAATTGACCGCAATGGGCAAGGAGAACCTGTTCTTCAAGTGGATAGAATTGGTGCAATTCGAATCTTCAAAGCCCGGCGCCTTTGGATCCGCGGAGCAGGAGAAGACCACGGCAAAGGCAAAGGCGATGTTTGAGGCTCAAGGAGTCGATTTCGATCAGTTTTGGGCCAAAATTGGAGGAATGCAAGGAATGCCGGGGATGGACAGGATATAGATCATCTGAGCTTGTATCAAGAATCCCAAACATGCCCCTTACATCGTTGCGTTGGGCTATTTCTCAACGAGCCTACGTACCGTTATCGAAGTAAGCTACGTATCATATATCTGCATGAGCTTGCTCATGAAGGGCACCTTAGCGTCGATATTCTTATAATGTGTATTCGACACGTCGATTGCACCGCAGAAGCGATTCGCCACCAATTTGCATCATGCTATCGATCAAGACCACGAAAAGAAGAATAATCGCTTCATCTTGCCGATTTCCAGCACCCCCGTTCCACTTGTCCCATCCTCTCAAGGGCCTTCGCTCCGGATTAACTAGTCACAAGTGAGGATTTGCGCGTCGTATCAAGCAATTGAACATGCATCAGATACATGTATCTGCCTGCAGGCTATAAGGTAGGTCGAACAGACGCGAAACCAATTTCTTAAACAGCGCCTTGGGTAGAGTAGCGCTGCGAAAGGGTTGGCAATTTGTAAGACTCGGATTCGTGGTAAATGTGTACGATATTTCCAGCGTTTCTTCTTGCTTGCTGTAATCCTACGAATTCTGTCTTGATATGTTTCGTACCTGAACTCCAAGTTTCCACGGTCACTCTTGCAACAGTCCTGGATCCAATTCTGCTCCCTTGATAAAACCTGTGTTTTTTAATTACTTCCTAAGTCGTTAAATGAATCAATTGCAAAGTTTAGGTGGAGGCGTGGTGATTTCATCATTTGAGGCTATATATATCATCATGTAGCAAAGCCTCGTTTTGAAATTGGCATAAACAAGTTCTTTGGGCCAGTGGTGAAGCCATCTGTCTCACACACAGAAGATCGTGAGTTCAAACCTCACAAGAACTACTTTCGATTTTTTTATTGGGCGTTATTTTGGCATTCTTGCGAAGCTCAACCACGGCCACCTCCTGACGTGTCTCTTATGAAGAATACGATGGAGTCCGCATCTTTATTGAAGGGTTTGTCGCAAGGCTGGTAGTATAAAACTTGTAAGTTTTATTTTTGCGTAATATCTTACTCTGATCCAAACTATTTGGGACTTTAACATTTCTAGAGGAGGCAGAGTACGATGGTGTGCTTTGAACAATTCTGCGTATTCGCAGGTCTTGGTATTCCCAGTGGCGTTATGTATTAGGTGATCAGTTTTGCTTAAAGAATCCAGATCCATATTTACTATTATCAGGTAGCTAGCATATCTCAGAAAGTAATATAGACTGGATAGAGCTCGGTAAAGTTGCATCATGATATTGAAACAGGAACACGAGGAAAGACCACTGCATCATTTATCTATTCACATTTTGTCAACAAAGGGTTACGAGAGATTTGAGAGCTTCATGGGCTTTGAGAGTATGAAGAGCTTTTGACGGGACGAATGCTCAATGGACCTTAGATCAATCTCCGTTTAAACCTCCTCCAAACATCCTGGGATGTTGAAATTACAGAGGTAAGTGAGGAATAATCCACGCTTGAGACATTCCACCCAATTGTTAGCCTAGCTAGATAATCACCCATAGACCCTGAAATCCAACTCATTGATATCATAAAGGGGGAGTCATCACTACAAGTATTGAATCTCTACAACCATGTGAGCTAGGATGGGCAAGAGCCGAAGACCTTTCAGCGCTCTCTAAAAGAACGAAAGCTACACCTAAACACCGTACTCATGGGAGACTTTAATGCACACCACCCCCAATGGAACTCAGAGATAGAGAGCCCCAATAGGGCCCAACAAGGCATCAAAACAGCTTGTGGAGTGGTTTGAGGACTATGGTTAACAGTGGCAGCAAGGGGAAATTCAGCTACTTCCAAGAAGTCAAGAAAGCTAAGAACTCACTGGGAACAAATCCTACAAAGAGGAGGCCCTAAATCTATCTTAAAAGCTACGAAACACACCAGGACCCGGGGCAATATACAAACCTCTTTCAAAGGCAAATGCAAGGCATTTAGAACCACTCTCTTCCCACTGCCACCGACAGCAGAAAGGCCTGATTGGACCAACTACCAAAGCAACGAGAGATGGAAATGGCCTGAACTTACTCTCGATGAATTTCAGCACGCCCAGGACGGAAAGGCAAGTCGAAAGAGTAAGGTGATGTTGGGTATAAAGAGTTTGTGGCTTGGGAATCACTCACGACGGCTCCAGGGGCACTCTCGCGAGGCATGAAACGAATGAATTGAGACATTAGTATAAGTTGTATTGGCTTGTGTTCATACGTAAGTCATAGATACGTTGTTGTGGAAAGGGAAATGAGGAGAGGGTGGGTTGACATACCAAAATTCGGGGGAAGAAGGGAAAGAAGAATCAGAAAATTGAGAATCATGGACTTTGTATACTTGGGCAGCAGAAGTGGATACTTGCAATTCTGCAATTGTGTGTAAAGTCTATTAATAGATAACGACTCAAGATCACAGCAATGTTAACGCTTCATCTTCAAGCACTTTCAAGCCCTCCGATATCTCATGTTTGTGAACTCCGAAATGAGAGCTACATACGGAAAGATGCCATGTACAAAGTAGCCGGCCGTGGCATGTTCCCGGAGAAATCATGTAGTTAATGTTTTGACTTCGTGCTTTAAGATCATCGAAGTGTACGAGCACAGTATTTTTCGACTGAAGGCAACTGAAGACTTTTCCCAGACGATTATTAAGCACAAAAGTCTTACGGAAGTCATCTTCTGAGTTCATCAAACATCAATTCATCGCGACATTATATATGGTATCTGCGTGGCATCTCGCATGACCATAACATACATCACAGTGCCGGTAACCCAGTCCCTTCCGCTATACACCCTTGTCATCCATTTGTACAGACCTAAGCACTTGATACGACGACCCGGAAACCACCAGTTACTAGCTTCGTTATATCCTCATTCTTGTGCTGTAGGAGACTGAGGGCATAGGCGACCTCATTCCACTGCTTCTCGCTCTCACATCTTGCCAGTCTAGCTGCCATCTTGTCTGCCAGCTGCTTGGCATGCTTATCCTACAAACAATGTTAGCAAGCAACTTCGATATGTGAGTACTTTGCTTACCTTTTCGATGAACCCAGTTAAGAACTTGATAATCCTCTTCAAAGCATCCTCCTCGAGATCCTTCTCAGCAGTCAAGAGACTGAACATATCCACAAAGTGATTGTAAACAGCGTTATCCTTTGTGCTTAGTTCCGTGAAAAACATGCGACTCAGATCGGCAATCCTCTTATCATCATCTTCCAAGCACTTCGCCATCTCTCCCAATTGACCTTTGACCTTGACTTGACCAGCAAGGATCAAGAATGTCAGAGTCATCAAACATGTACGCTTCACGCTTGCATCCTTATCGTTCAGGCGGCGATACAAGAAGTCGGTGTTCTCATCGATCAGATGATTGAAGCAGACGGCCATATCTCCGAGTGCGATTACAACATTTGAACGAGTAATAGGATCCTTGGATCGTTCTAGAATCGTGATGAGCAGAGGAAGATTCTGCTCACAGTACTCTGAGCTGACACACATGAGCTTAGCTAAACAAAGTGTCGCAGCAGCCTGAAGGTTGCGATCTTTGTAGGTGGTATTGTTTGAGCAAATTTCCGAGACCAGCGGCCCAAAGTTCGCCAGTAGAGAGTTCTCGCCATATAGAAGTTCTCGTTCACGAATATGAGCCATTGCTTCTGTGAAATCATCCTCAGTGGTGCCTCCAATCATGTCAAGGTCATCAGCAGCTTCCTTGGCAGCTTTATCGGCGGTTGCTTCAGCAGCTGGTATTTTCTTGTCCGATTCTGCCTTCCGACGTTTAAAGTCGAGTTCGCACAACTCAAGATGAACGATCTGCTTGATGGCTATATGCCCGACTATAAACAGTAGTTGCGACAAAGCTACGGATCCTTTGAGCTTGCTTTCTGACAGTGTAGGCTTTGCCGCTGGTGCTTCGACCGGAGAATCGACATCCAGAGCGTCCTCTAGAGGCTGCTCGGGTTCAGGAGTCTGGACAGTGCGCTTCTGGAACACATACTGGGTTTTACGTCGTAGTGTTTCGGAGCATAAGATATCAGGATGATTTGAGAGCGTATAGATGGCGCTGATTGCTTGCTCAGCAACACCATACCATTCCTTGTTGTCCGACTCAATCTCAATGATCGCAGCAAGCTTCTGAAGAACAGCATGATTGTTGGTAAGTTTCGATACCTGGATATTTGCTTCCTTGGCTTGTCTTCCGGTAGGATTTATTCTTCGGAGCGCAATGCATGTATATTTAGCAAGTTGCAGGTCAGAGCGTCCCAAACTACCAAGGCCAATTCTCAGCATAGTCTCCATTTCTCCAACCACGATTTCGGGCTTGGCTGTTGCAAGCATTCCGAGAACGATGATAGATCCACGTCTCTGACTCTTTGATATTTCCCGCTTCTGCACACCATAGACCTGCCACAGCTTCGATACTACCAGCTCTGAAATGTGATTAAACTTCATCATGGTAGCAAGTAGTTGCTCCAAAGAGGTCAATTCTGCAGGCGTCGCGCCGAAGGTCAAACTGATCATGTTCCGAGCGATATAGTTGGCCGCGTCATTACCATTGTACGTGTCAGGTGCTTCGAAGAAAAGGCGTTTGTAGCATTCAATAAGATGGTTCTGCACACCTTTACCTTCGTCGCTATTTCCTTTCGTCCAAATGAGTCGTAACATCTTCCGGATACCAATTTTGTTTTGCTCAATGTTGTAAGCATCACCAATTTCAAAGAAATCCATTGCTTCAATTATTTCGCTCTTGTTCTTCGAACCCAACAACTGACAGATTGTGGTAGTGGCGCCATGTAGGACTTCAATGAACTTTAATGCCTCGACATAGTAGCGCCTGGTCAATGACAGTTTGCTGATGGCTTCTGATGTGGCTGCTTCCTCTCTTGCCTTCTCAACGGCTGCTAACATTGCCTCATTGCTGGGAGGCCTTTGTGGCGACTCGGATTCAATGATAGTTGCATCGTCCAGTAATGCGTTGCCGACCTTCGTGCTGTCTACAAGACCAGGTGTCTCTGGAGGAGGCTTCAGCGCGTTCAATTCTTCGTCAACCTTGTCCAGACGCCCATTCCACTCCTTGAGGTTGAGTTGTGATCCATGCATGACATTGAAAGGATGTGTGGTAAGCAGAGATCCAAGGAGCTTGATTGAATTCCGACGAACATTGCTGCTCTTATCCTCCAAACTCCGAGCAGCGAGTTCGGCAACTCTCTGCCTACGCTTTGGATACTTGACCTCAAGGCTACAAATTTTGACCCATACCTGGATCGTGCGACATCTGCAGTAAGGGTTGATATCGAGGAATCTTTCTTCGAGCACATCGAAGAACGCGTTGAGCTGTGACTTGTGGTTATCACCACGCTCTTCTTGCTTGCTCAAGTCCACGAGTAGATTGCCGCAAACTTCGATAAGTGCGCATCTTAAAGCGTACGATTCACTGTCCATTTGCTTCGCTAATAGGGTCATCTGCTTCATTACCAACTTTGGCTGAAGTTCTGACAGTTTAACGATGAAAGTGGATACTGACTTCGGTCCTCGAGTGTCATTGCTGTTGAACTCCTTGTTGCTGATTTCTCGTAGAATCTCGTCGGTAAGTTGCTGATAGTCATATTGTTCAGACAGAATGTGCAGAAACTCTGCCATGGGCTCCGCCAAATGCTCAAAATATGTGAGATTCTGAACAATCGATATTTGTGCAGCTAGAGATTCATCAGCACAGTTTACATATTACTCAGCCCAGCAATCCTACCATAACCATGCCCATGGTGCTTTACAGCTATGCATAGGACCTTGAATGCGTGCATTCGAATCGCCGTAGCTTTCACTCTCTGCTCACTTTCCAGAACCATGTAGACT